CTCTCCTCCACTGGTACTTCCTTGGGCTCCCGGAAAGGCCGCCTTTTTTGTCGTGGAGCGTTCACAGGGTAGCGCTTGGCATGGCCGCAGGACTTGCATCTGGTGACCATGACATCCGCCCAAGGCTTCTTGCCGCCCTTGCTTGGGTTCTCGACTGTAGTTACGCAAGTCTTTCCTTCCACCAGGAGGGCGTCGCAGTACTTGCACATCATCTGCTTTAGTGCTGAGCTGGGCCGAATTTGGGCCTTCAGAGAGACGGCTCGAATGTCGGAGATGAAGCGTCGAGCAAGCGTCTCGTTTGTGGTGACATGTTTGTCCTGGCTAGGCTGAGCGTCATCGTGGAGTTTCGCCGCGGTTGGCTTTGAGATGGAGGTTGTTGGCTGCACCGTTGCTAAATAGCAGGCGGCTTGATGCAGGTACGACACCCGAGTGTATTGGGGCCGGTTCGACAAGCTCTCGCTTTTTGCCTTTGCCATTTTCGTCTCCCTGCGGCTTGTCAGGCGTTTCAAACAGTGAAAGGCATTGAGCGTAGTGTTGTGAGAAGAGTCAGTCTTGTCCAGGTCACCTTCACCATGAAAGTGGAAAAAACACTGCAGGGGTTGCATGGATGGTGTGGGTGGCCTTGAGTGTCTCCAGCAGATGGAGAGGTTCTAGGCTGCAGGGCGCAAGCTGCCCAGGTTCAGGTCAGCTCCAGACAACAAGCTGGACCCCCAGCGCAAAGGTTAACGCTACTGTGCTTGAGTCTGCATTTGCACTGTCCTCATAAGCGGGTCCTGATCACATGATGTCGCTGAACTCAGCCTCTCACACGCGAAAGCTTTTGACCTTGGGGCGCCCGCCTTACCTTCGTGTCTTCCAAGTTCCTGGTCCTTCCACATCAACCACGGCGCCTGCCAACTCGCCATCCAACCTTACTTCCTCCCCAATCGCCATCTGAATTTAATTCTCTCGCCCTCCGTGTTTTAAGGACCCGGCTAGCGTTTTCTTTCCACGAGCCGAACGACACCTTCCGACTTTTTCTCTTTTTTTCATTCAGCAAAGCTAGGAGCTACCGCGCTGCTAGCCCGTCATCCTCTCCTGATCAACCCAAGAAGCTTGCATCGTCAGCCTCGGGTTCTTTCCTTCGCCACAGCCTTCTCGGCCGTTATTTCAATAATCTCCAGCAACGTCACCACCAGTAATCGACAACATGTCTGCTGAGGAAGATCTCATCGACTACTCCGACGAGGAGCTTCAGACCAACGAGACCGCGGCCGCCTCGAACGGAAAGAAGGCCGATGCTGCCGCCGCCGGTAACAACGTCGACAAGAAGGGCAGCTATGTCGGCATTCACTCGACCGGTTTCCGCGACTTCCTCTTGAAGCCCGAGCTTCTGCGCGCTATTGGCGATTGCGGTTTCGAGCATCCTTCGGAGGGTCAGTCCTGAGTTTATATACCCTAACCCATCATCATCCCCTCCCCTGTCAGCAAGCGTCCGTCCATCTCGCAAGCCCAAAAAGCCATCGAAATCGCCTTCGAGGAAGTACCGAATCAAAAAGCGGGAGTCAGCTGGATATCCATCTTTGTACGGGCATTGCTCGACAATCCACCGGTAACAGGTGGATGATACTGCGGTCTTGAGAGAGGGGAAAGCGTGACAGCACCCCTCCCACCGCGCGAACACTACGGTGTTCTCGAGTACTCTACAGTCGCAATGGCACTGCGAGAGCTTCGCCTCTCGAGTGCCCGACTACTTCTGTGCCACGGTCGCGTGTCGCAATGGTCGCTTTCGCGCCGCAAGCACCGCGATCGTGCCATGCCCTGCCATCGTCACTTGTGACTGATGAGCGTTTCTTGTTCGTGGAGGAGAGTGGAAACATTCGACTCAACATGGCTTCTTTTGCGCAGATGGACGGGCACTTTGCACGCCCTCTACGTCACTTCTGCTCTTGGAACAAATATCTAACATCGGCGCGACCCAACAGTCCAGCAAACCTGTATCCCTCAGGCGCTTCTCGGTGGAGACATCATCTGCCAGGCCAAGTCCGGTCTGGGAAAGACTGCCGTCTTCGTTCTCACCACCCTGCAACAAGTTGAGCCGGTCCAGGGCGAGGTTTCCGTCTTGGTTATGTGCCACACTCGTGAGCTCGCTTTCCAGATTCGCAACGAGTACAACCGTTTCAGCAAGTACATGCCGGACATTAAGACTGGTGTCTTCTACGGTGGAACCCCCATCCAGAAGGATGTCGAGACGATCAAGAATAAGGAGACCTGCCCTCACATCATTGTCGGCACTCCCGGCCGTCTTAACGCGTTGGTCCGTGACAAGGTTCTCCGCCTGGGCAGCGTCCGCATCTTCGTCCTTGACGAGTGCGACAAGATGCTCGATCAGATCGGTGAGTCAATGTTCGCTCCCGCCGGCGAAGCTTCATAATAACGAGGATCAGACATGCGCCGTGACGTCCAGGAGATCTTCCGCGCCACCCCCACCCAGAAGCAGGTTATGATGTTCTCGGCCACCCTGTCCGACGACATCAAGCCCATCTGCAGGAAGTTCATGCAGAACCCTACCGAGCACTACGTCGACGAGGACACCAAGCTCACCCTGCACGGTCTCCAGCAGTACTACATCAAGCTCGAGGAGCGTGAGAAGAACCGCAAGCTCAACGAGCTTCTGGATGAGCTCCAGTTCAACCAGGTCATCATTTTCGTCAAGAGCACTCTGCGTGCGACCGAGCTGGACAAGTTGCTGAGAGAGTGCAACTTCCCTTCCATCGCCGTCCACTCCGGCGTCAGCCAGGAGGAGCGTATCCGCCGCTACAAGGAGTTCAAGGAGTTCAACAAGCGTATCTGTGTCGCCACCGACGTCTTCGGCAGAGGTATCGATATTGAGCGTATCAACCTGGCCATCAACTACGATCTGCCTGCTGACGCCGACTCCTACCTGCACAGAGTCGGTCGTGCTGGTCGTTTCGGTACCAAGGGTCTTGCCATCTCCTTCGTGAGCACCGACCAGGACAAGGAGGTTCTCACAGCTATTGAGAAGCGCTTCGAGGTTGCTCTTCCGTAAGTTTTCGTCTGCCCTTAATACCGTGCGCATGTGGCTAACGCGTTTCTCAGTGAGTTCCCCAAGGAGGGCATTGACGCCAGCACCTACATGGCTTCTTAAGCAAGTCATCGGACAGTTGGGCCGGACTGGCCTGTCGTTATGTTTTTTCTAAAAGGGTTCTGGTTTTCGGGAATTTGCAAATTATGGTTGTCAGTGACGCACAAGAGTGGCCACAAGAAAAGAGATGAAGCTGCTTTCTCCGTGCAGATAAGAAAAGTCCATTGGCCTTTGCTGGCCTTTTGCAATTTGTACAGAGTAGTTATCACGGGAATCAAGACTGGATCGCCAAGTTCATGTTCTCTGCCATATCATTGTGTGAGATGTACTGGCACGTTACTTGATGCCATTAGCTTTGGGGACGATTTACCTTATTGTAGCAGCAGCTTTCTCTGGCTCCACATCCCTTGACTTTCACCGTGCGGTGTTCGCTTAGGTAACTTGTGACGGTGACTAGTCAGTCACAGAGCTCCGATGCTCCCGTCTTCGTCGGAGCGTGTCCGGAACATGCTATTGCAAAGTACTTGCCAAAAGGGAGCGCGTAATTCTGTAATGTCTCATTCAGAAAGCGTTGTCCCTGCTGTCCCCGGTTTTGAAGGCCGTATACAGACGACGCGGTCTAGAAAATGCCCATAATGTGAGCAGAGCTTCTCGAAGGCGGAACACTTGGCTCGCCATGAGCGATCACATACAAAAGAGAAACCATTTCAATGCGGACAGTGTGGTAAATCTTATAGCCGACAGTAAGTCTGTCAAAGTAGGGGCCGAGCAGTAGCCCAGTTTCTCATATCATCTATCAGCTGACACGCCCTGCAGAGACTCCTTGATCAGACATGCTCGGTCACATACTAATGGAAAGCGGAAAAGACTTTCGAGAAGCGTACGAAGGACGCCATCATCACAAACATCTCCTCAAGAGATTGAGACGTTATCAGATCACGACCTCGATGATGTATTCATCAATGGTGCCCATTCTCAGACGCCTTATGAAATCGCGGAACGGGAGGCAGACGAGCTACGCACCAATGTTCAACCAGTGCCGCATCTGTCGACTGCCGCATTGAACGCAGCGGACTTTTCGGCCCCCTCTATGAGCTTTCTGAATACACCGACGGACTTGAAGCTCATGAAGATGGGTCTGAACGTCCATGAACCAACGTGGTTGTTGAGAGCAACTTCGACATCGATGCACTGAACTAGTCTCTTTCGAACACCTTTCCGCAATATGGCGCCCCAACCAACGACTTCGTCGAACAACAGACATCGCAGAATCCTGCATTTCCAAATGTCATGAACAATTACTGTGCAAAGAATCATGACTTGGTTCCCCAGGTACAACGGAGGTGGTATGCAACACTGCTACGCAACGTTGTCTGCTAAGACATCTCCGACCAACTTCAAGGCCGGAGCCGGGTAGATAACGGCTACAGAGAGGGCATTTTGCTGAAATTACAGCCAAGACCGAGCAATGCCGCTTTACCTTCTGCAGACTTCTTGGTGAGTGAAAGGTTGTGCACTTACCACGGCTTATTGGTGACCATGGGAGAACATATGCATCAAGCTGTACTTTGCACGGTTCAATCTCGTCTTCCCCATCGTACACGCGCCGTCGTTCCGACCCTCTTCGGAAAATGCAATGCTACTTCTGTTCATGTGTTCTGTTGGTGCTCTGTTCATGGGATCCTCAAAGGCAACAGAGAATGGAAGGATGATCTTTCAAATGCTTCACAAGGCACTTTTGGCATCGGCAAGTGACGCAAAAAATTACGTCGTGTGGTTGAATGATATATCTGACGTAGAATCGCAGTGGGATAGATATATATGTCGTGAAAAGCGGGAGGTTCTGTCCCTCGTCCAGTCCGCAACCATCGGCCAAACCTTTGGGATGCTTTCCGGAGATCCCAGTGACGTCTGCATGACTGAGTGCTTTCATGGCACAGTCATTGCTTGGGCTCGACAGGGAGGTCTCTTCAAACCGAAGCACGCAAGGATCAACTCATTGGAGGATCCTAGCCTAGGCGTTGACGATATGTGGAAGGAATGGATTCACAGAGAAGAGTCTATCCGACTTCTTCTCGGACTCTACATCCAAGACTCCGAGTTCTCAGTCACATTCCATCACGAGCCACTACTTAGGCATGCTCACGGCAGGATTCCTCACTGTTGTTCAGATGAGGCTTTCTTCGCGCCCAATGCCGCCGAATGGTATAGACTTATCAGGCGGAATCAGTCAATCAGCAACAATGGAGGTGAGGCCGATTCTTCCATGTCGCAGCCTTCCGTATCAGCCCCTGGTTTTCAACAAGCACACATGCTTGCGTATGCGTCGTTGGCCAATATCGTGGGTTCGATCCAGGAAACAAAGGCGTGCTGCCTGGACAAAGCAGCAATCGATCAGTTCAGGGAAGCGTTTCTGTCATGGCACCAGGTGTACGTCGGCCACTTCCCACGAAATCAGCCTAACTACATCAATCTCATGATATGGTGGCATGCATCGTTCATGGCACTGTACGCCGATGCCGACCTCCTGGAGCGTTCTATCGGCTGTGACGGTCGAGAGGTCGCCGAGCAGCCCAAGAAAGAAATCGACGAGTGGGCCACCTCTTCGGAAGCCAGGAAGGGCGTCTTGCACGCACTGTTGGTTCTCAAACACCTGGAAATGCTCCCAATCTGGTCTGATCCAGCAATACACGTTCCCAAGGCGGTCTTCTACGCTGCCATGGCCGTGTACAGTTACATCAAGTTCATGCCAAAGACGGGCTCCTGCTATACGCCGTCGCAAGACGAGATCGCGATCCCTGAACTTCAGGTTTCTGAACCAGTCGGCCCTTCGCAGACAGGGAAGAAGCAGACTGATCCGTCTTCGTTCCCACCGGTCGAGTCTAGCACGCTCTGCAGCGCGATGGATCTGTTGCGGCGGATTGGGCACTGGGAGATTTCCCGGAAGCTATCATCAATACTGGAGGTGTTGATGGATGATCTTGTAGTTAACTAATGGAAACAGTCAGAGTCATGCTAGAGTGCGATTCCAATGACCTGCAAGACTGGGTCGAAAGTGAAGTAGGCGACCGTTCCTTGAGGGAATGCCCTGGTTAGTTTCTGGCCCCTATACCATGACTCTAAGCTCTCGTGCCATCTAATCTACTGCTCATAGACTGATTGCAATCTTGGTAGCGGCGGGACTTCGCGGGACTGTTCTTGCGGGACATGTGGCGGGACCTTTGGCGGGACGGGCATTTGGCGGGACGTCTGCGGGACCTGCGGGACCGTTTATCCTCCGGACACTACGATGCGAATGGAACTCCGGGCATGCCGTTGTGCTTTTTCAGTTCGGCATCCAGAGAAGATTGTTACCGCAATGACGCGCGGGTGGAGGCACAGACATCATGGCTCTTCGATGCTCAAGTCGCCGTCCCTGGATGGGATATTGCCACGACAAACTTCTATATAAGAACATCCTTCCCTTATTCAAGGAGCTTTGAAAGAAGACATCAAGCTTGACACAGCCATCACTCGCTACATACAGACATCGGAAATTGCCAACCCCATTTCTTCAACTTGTTCCTTCAATATGCAGTCTGCTACCGCTTTTCTGGCACTTATTGCCTCTGCCAACGGTAACGTTATCCGGGGCCGTCAGCTCTCAGGTGCCGCCGCTGTCCCTGCGAATCCCCAGCCGGCCAACTTGACTTCGGGCGGCGACTCTGTATCTACAGACATATCGCCGCTGGAGTCAAACACTGAGCAGTACTATCTCGGCTTCCGAGAGGTTGACTTTGAGAAGCCTTACGCGAAGTAAGCTCCCCCCTTATTCCAGAATTCCCTCATTCCACGGTTCACTCGTATGCTAAGACGTGCAGATACTACAACCCGGTGGTTTCTCCCATCTCGGACGCCCTTGTCAACGGCTTGGCTGGAAGCCCTTGGCGCAGTGTCTTCAGTCAGTTACACTCTCCTCTGACTTACAAGGAATCCCTTTGGGCGGAACGAACTGACCGATGACAGCATACTCTGCCCAAGACGCCGCCAAGTATCTTGAGCAGTCCGGGTATCTGAACTTGGAGAACGGCTACGCCATTGGCAGCAACGGCACTCTCATGATCGCCGTTCGCAGCGAGATCCCTCAAGGTAACCCTCAAGAACTTGACCTCCCTTGTTGTGTCCCGTCTAACACCCTTGAAAGTCACCGGCGAGTAGTACGACTGGTGGTTCGGCTGGCACTCTGTCGAAACGGCCCGGTACAAACTCTGGAACCCCATCGCCCACCAGTGCAGCTACGGCACACCCGACAGCGTCGACTGGGCCAACCGCACCTATGCCGAGCGCTACATTGGTGCCACGTCCCACATTGACGAGTATGTCGGCAACGACGCCGCCAAGCTGAGCATCCAGTTCATCGAGCCCGAGTCGATTGGCTTTAACACATCCGCCTGGCCGGAGCTCGGCATTGAGACCGTGGTTGTTGGAAAGCTGTTCATCGGCGGTAGGTCTTTAACCACTTCGTACACAGCTCTGTCTCGTGGCTTGATCTGACCAAGCTTTCTGTAGACTACTCTCTGGAGTTCGACCAGACTTCGTACCTCATGCACATGGTTCGCCGTATGCCCAATGGCTACCGTGAGCTTCGATCCCGCTTCTTTGTTGCGTCCGATAACCACGGCAACGCTCAGCTGGGGCACGACCTTGCTGTTCACTGCAACATCGAGATGACCCGTAAGTCAGCCCATACGAGTTCATTCCGTCTCACATTGATTTTTACTGACCATCACAGCGGCACCAGATCTTGGATCCTTCCTCTCTACCCTCATCCAGGGATTCGAGGGCGTCAAGTAAGTGCGTTAAGCATCACGCATATGGTCACCACGGCCGGATGCCGTCTTGAATCGCTATCATCCCTCTAAGTAGAAGATGCCATGGTCAAATATTAATCACATAGAATCTACAAATTACCGTAGATAAGTACATAATCTCTCTCCTTAACATAAGTCACCGTGCCGAGCTGTCGTGTCCATCATGTGATTCAAGATAGCCTCCAGCAATTTAGAGAGCTAACACGTCTTATTCCTGCCCTGCCTACTCCACGCCAAGTCTCCTGCGCCTGCTCGTCATCGTCTTTCCCGACTTCATTGCCATTGTCGTCGCCATTTTTGCTATCCACATGTTCTTCGTTTCCAAACTATTCAGACTACTGTTTCCAAAGCCAGGGCCCAAGGCCAGGGCCTCGATTGATATTTATCCCCAACTGACAAGGCCATTCAAAATGTCCAACCCAGCCATGCTAGAAGCATCAGATATCGCCGCCAACGATGTTGAGATTTGCACGTTGTTGCTAGATTCGTTATTTTCTAGTGGCGAATGAACCAAGTTATTCCATGCGAGGAGATGCTCAATCTCGTATGAGGCAGGCCAAAGTGCCTCCGAACCAATACTCACAAGCGAGTCTTCCTCAGCCTCGGGCCAAAGCATGAAATCAAGCTGAGAGCCGTTCGGAAAGCTTGTTTGGGCATTCAGAGCACTTATACAGCAACCAGGATCGCTGACAGAAGGCACATAGCCGTGGGATTGCGAAGGATCCCATTGATAGTCGTCTCACAAAGGGAACCAAAGTTAACAATGGTCACGATAAGTGTTTTCGGACTGCTTGGGCTTACCTTTACTGAAGGCCTCACCTGTAGAGGCAACAGAGCCGTCGATAATGTGCGAGGTGCCAAAAACTGCTTTGTCAGAGGCGGCCAAGTCGGCCAAGTTGACCGCCTCATTCCCATCTCCTTCGCCGCAGTAAGGCATCTGCAAATCGTCGTGTGCTGTAGATGCGGTTTGCTCCAGCGATGGCAGCGAGGTTGGAAAGCTATTTTTGAGGGCAGATGAGCTGCTGTCTGAGTTGCATGGGTGCTTGTCCGGCGCAGCGCGGTCCTGTTCTTCGTTTGCGGGAGAGAAGCTTGAAGGTCCGGATGACGGAGACGTCTTGACGCACCCAGCTTGCTCCAAGATTTTCTCAAGGGTATCTCCCTCCTGTAGTAGTTTTATCAGGCGAATACCCTTATCTGTAGTCAAGAATGCCTCAATCAGGGCTTCCTTCTGATATCGAGCCTCTTTGAGGGTATCTAATTCGGCTCGTAGGCTGTGCTTGGAGCGTGTATTCCGAGGCTCGTATCTGCACTTCAGTTTTCGAAGATTGCATCTGTCACAAGGATTCTTCCCGTCACACTTGAGATTCATCAATACTCAGCATCAAAGCCCGGCGAGCGTAATAAACCGTACCTTGGCCTTTTTCCGCCGACAGTCTTCGCAAGCTAGCCGGACACACTGTCTCAGTGGCTTGCGATTCTCGCTAACCTCCACTTTGGAGATCGCCTTAGCTTCTAGCCTTTCCGTCGTGTCCTATGTCTGCTGTGTCAGTGAGATTCACATGTGGGTTCGTCACAATAATGACTCACGCAGGGCTTGTTAATAGGTCTCATTTCAGTGGCTCGAGGTATAACATGGATGGGCTTGTCGAAAAACAAGAGGTCGAAGGAGAAAAGAGGGGAAGAATGAGGAAGAGGAAGCGGACGTAAATCAACGGCGAAGATTGGAGAAGCCAAGATCAGGTAGACTTTCTCCTGTTTGAGACGGATATTCAAGGAAACCAGTAATGAGCGTCTAGTTTGCCACCGTGGACTGATAGAAGTTTGTTGAAACCCGAATGAAGCATTCTCCGAGTTACTGGTGGTGATAATATATCGAGATGGCTACCCCAGCTGTGGTCGGAAATTTGACCGTAGTCGGGGGCGGCAAAGCACATGCTCACGAGATACACAGAATAGAATTTCTCCCTACAGCATCGTAAGGCTAGCGCGGGTGACATCCGGTCATAGACAGGACTGTGCGCAACGAAGTTAGGTGCTTGCGTATTTCAAAATTAGCTTCGGTTTCAAGATGCATCTGATTATATGATATCATTCAGACGTCAAAAAGTTCCCCTCTGCCTCCTTCTCGGACAATGTAGAACACACCGCAGTAATTCAAAGTCGTATCTTTTCATGGCTTTGGCTGCAGATATATTCTCGAAAAGCATGTCAGACTCGCCCGCATACTGTGTCCTCCCAGCAAGCCACGCAGTGGGCCATCGGGTAAATCCTTTGTGCTTGAACGAGGCCATTGCTCGCAAGCCGTGATATGAGCTCCGGCGACACGCCGCTAGTTACCACGACTGTTTCTGGAGCTGTCAGCAGAAGCTCCTCCAGAGCTGGAAGAAGCTCGTTGAAAACTGCACCATCCATCGGTCAATTGAATGTTCAGTTCATGGGCCGAGAGGGCTTCCGTCCAATCACCTAAAGCAGTCGACCCTAAAGCGGTCAACCCCCTCCCGCACAGACACACATAAACGTGTGTGGTGACACACATCCTCACTCATTTGCGTTTGCCTTACCCGAAACCCCTGCAAATGCGGCATTTTTCGCCCTTCAAAGGGGCTTCTTTTTCGATGTCAATCGGCCTCTTTTTTAACGATTGTGCAGCGCGCAGGGTATGCGCGCGAATAAAAAAAATACCTCTAAAATCAGCGAAATCAGGGCTATCGATTGGTATACTTTTTACTTAAATAAATTACGTTTTTAAAAAGGTCATTTTTCGGTCGCGAACGGGTTTAAAACGACGAAAAACTCTATTTTTAATCATAATGCGGTTTTTTTTTTTTTCGAGAACGAACGTAAAAAAATCGACTTTTTAAAACAGCGATACGCCCGATTAAAAAAAGTATACCGATTAGTAGCCCTGATTTCGCTGATTACAGAGGTATCTTTTTTATTTACGCGTATACCCTGCGCGCTACGTAATTGATGGTTCTTTTCTACTAAAAACGCCCCTTTTTGGGGCTTTTTGGCCACTGCGATGAAAAAGGGCCGTTTTGGCCCCCAACTACGACAGGGGTTTCGGGTAAGGCAAACGCAAATGAGTGCTTTAACTCATCGTGACAAGCAACTCGCACACTCCGCAACATACACCATCCCAGCTAAGCTTCCGATCAGCTACTGCGACAGCTGTCGTTGGCCGGGGATTAGGCGGTCATTGGGGACGGAGAGCAGGGACGGAGAGTAGGGGCCGTATTTGGCGGCGGGATTTGGCGGGGTCTGGCGGCGGGATTTGGCGGGGTCTGGCAGCGGGAACACCTGAGTAGCCATATCTTATTCCCTGACATCTCCGAGACCCTATCCGACGCCATTGTAGCCGTGCAGGGTGGAATATTCAGTCATTCCTGCCGGTCGCGAGGCAATGGTGCGGTATCCGACGATCTATGAGGATACCACGTCAAAGGGCGGGAGGAAAAAAGAGATGGGAACGGCTATGTAGGTGTGCAGCTGAAGTCAACAACCTCTTGGGTTCTCAGGCAGGGCTCCCTGGATTTTGCGCCCAGTAGTTGATAGGTACAAGTCCAAATACTTTGCGCTGTCAGCGGCATACGACCTTTGGACAGAACTGGATGGAAATGTCCGTACTGCGTACATTATTACCCAGTTTCTAACACGCCTGAGACACGGATGATAAAGTGGAAGATTCTATTTCTGTAACGGAGCATTGCCATCTAAGCTGATGCTTCAGCTAAGCAGGCGGAGTCTGACTTCGCTATATTGTTTATGGTCCCGGATCGTGCCGATTGCCGTCTCTGTCATCTTTCCCTCCGCACCTGCAGAGATGTTCACATGAAGTACAAGGCTTCTGTAGCGTTGCTCCAGATTGCTGAATAAATGACCATGAGGAGCAGGAAATGAACCCGCTTTGCAAACTCTCCTTGATAATCCTTCGTAAAGTGCAATCAAATACAGTCCTTTTGCTGTGCTGGGGCAAAGAGATTTACATCACAGCAGAACCAACTTGTGCTCGTACTTTCACGCGGGTTCGGCTGGCTTTCTTCTTGTTATCTAGCGCGTAGGCGACAGGCTCTAGGCCGACTGCCACTGTTCAGTTATATCCCTTGACTTACACCCTTAGACGCCAACGTCAAGATGGACCACGGCATAAAATGTACTTCGCTGTTGAAAATGGTTTCGCAGATAGACAGGTCCATATAACCAACAGCTTCAGGACCCAAGATTCATTCTCTGCGGCGACCGTATCCGAGAAAACATGTGTCGGCCGACCAGATATATGACAAGATTCGGGATATCGCAACGCGACAAGGTCAAGAAAAGCCAACATCGAGATGGGACTGATGCCGGTCCACTCGTCTCCGTGGTTCCTTCAATATGAAGCACCGAGTCTATCGAAACCTGCGTAGGAGAGGCAAGTGAGTGTTCACCCTTTTGAAAACGACGGGTTTCTCGCCCGTGCACTTCCCGCATGAGGCTACTGGAATTTTAGTCAAGGGAAAGAATTGAAAACCGGAGTATGTGTGGCTTTTATCACTCGCAGCATGAAGTCTCCTTGCGGCAGTTGCTTTTCAACCTCATATTCAATAAATACGGCTCTCGGCGTCATGAGCTTCCCAACCTCCACTCCAACCAAATACAAGATCAAGGCACTAGGAGTCGTTCATAGATGGAAGTTGCAAGACCATCTGAACTTTACTCTTGATCCATCCAATCTTGCCTCCAGTTGCCCCTTTTCCTCCGTTTGATTGCGTCCACGTCTTCCAGGGCTCACCCAACTTGCTCCTTTCTTGTACTTATAACTGCAATCAGAGGTTTCCAAAAGCAACTTAGTGAAACGGTCATCACATATCAACTCGGCCTCAAATCTTGAATCATCGTGGTGAAGAGGCAAGGATAAGAGTTAAGCGACGGCCTCACTTCCCGATACATGCGCAACTCTCGTCATATGCTCAATGATTCACCAACTCATCCTTTGCCGCATAG